TGGTGGACTAGTTTGAGAGGAAGCACATACCCTTCTTCTTGGGAGTGCTGTCCAAATGCTTTCACCTAAGCAGGTTTCTTACTCACTTAATTTAGAACTTTTCCTTCTTAAGAACTTGAGAGCTAGACGGAAGAAGAGAAGGATGTCACACAGGTAGTCCAGAAGCAGCATGGAGACTCCATAGAACCACCTCTGGAATCTGGGCCACATCAAAAGCAGCAATCTGTTCAGCCCTGAAGTGTATTTAAGAACAACATAATCCAGAGCAAGCAGCTGTAGATGAAAAGAAGTCTGGTTTTCTAAATTTGGAGTCTGTTTCCTAGCATCTGATCCAAAGAACTTGCTGGCCCTCCCCCACCTCCTGCTGTTAAACAGTTGCATCTTAATTCATTTTGTCTTAATTTCATTACCTTCTGTTGGCAATATTTTCCTAAATGTCCTCCTCTTCATGTTCTTCAGCAGTATATCTCAACTTAAGTAAATTAGTCACTGCATGCAACACGAAGAAAACCTAGTGGTGGTGTTAATGACAGCAGTGTGTCTGGATGGTGCCTGCTATTGCTGCTCTCTTGGCAGGGGAGACCTCAGGCACGATCCTCCATCCAGTCCTGCCTTTTTTTATGAGAATGCCAGCAGGGTCTCAATTTTTAGAGGAGTTACAATGCCTAAATATCTGCATGAGCAGGTAAACCAGAGAGCTATAGGGAGTAACTTGTGGCAGTAAAGATGACCTTAAGATGCCAGAAAAACCCAAGGTATATTTTTGACATTTTTCAATGGGGGAAGTATTATTTATGTAGCAACTTTTGGGTAATTAGGTTTTATAACCCTGTATGCACTTGCAAGATAGAAGGCTAAAGACTAGATTTTACATCAAAGTCACAGAGAATTAGGCTTCTTTGAAAAGCTTTGAAAATATATTCAAATGTCCTTCATCATTTTGAACTGCCTTAATTCTATTAAAACCTGTCCCTAATGTAGAGTGTGGTTATGGCATGTCATAAATAATACTATTGTTGAAAGGATACTCTACCTATTAGAACTCTTGAATTTCTTGAATTCCTTGAGTTCTTGAATTCTGGAATTCTTGAATGCCTTGCCTTTTTGGCAGCTTTCTTGACTATCAGCACTGGGCTTGCAAGTCATTTGCAATTCTTAATCTGCAAATTGTTTCGCATCCTGTTGGGTTTATTTGCAAATCTGCCTGGTGGGTGATGGTGGTATCGGAAACAGGGGATTATGACTTCTTAATGCAATTAAACTGGAGCTGAAGCAGAGTCACAAAGGAGAATGAACTTTCATTCAAACATCTGTCAGCCATGATATAGAGCAGAAGAGATAAAATTTAGATTGATTTTTTTTCTGTCTGATGCTATGTTCCCACTGCATTCTTGAATTACACTGAAAAATTAATCTGGACAACAGCACATTATCACAGATGATGAAGCCACATCTCTTTTCCCTTATGTCACCCCATGGTTGAATTTAGGAAATTTAGAAAAGAGCTTTTCATTTCAAGATTTTCTTTCATGAGGGGATCATGTTTTACCTGTTTGCTTTTGAGGTTGGTTTTTTTTTTTTGGAGTGCTGTGTTGTTGCATCTTCTGCTGTTTTCTTTTTGAAAATAATCCCAAACCAGCATTTATCCATAAACACGGTGTCCTCATAATTCCAAAATATTTCTGAACATTACTATACACATCACCACTTCCCAACGGCAGGCAGGTGTTTGGCCATCTCCAGGAAAGCAGGGCTCCATCACAAGTAATGGTTGCTTGGGAAGACAAACACCATCACTCCAAATGTCCTCCTCCTTCCTTCTTCTTCCCCCAGCTTCCTTCTATATCCCCCAGCTTCTTCCCCCCCAGCATGACATCATATGGCATGGAATATCCCTTTGTTCAACTGGGGTCAGCTGTCCCATCTGTGTCCCCTCCCAGTTGTTTGTGCACCCCTAGCCTACTCGCTGGTGGGGTGGGGTGAGAAGCAGAAAAGGCCTTGCCTCTGTGTAAGCACTGCTCAGCAATAATGAAAACATCCCTGTATTATCAACACTGTGTTCAGCACAAATCCAAAACATAGCTCCGTACTAGCTACTATGAGGAAAAGTACCTCCATCTCAGCTGAAACCAGGACACTGACTTTCCTTCTGTGCTACTCACTAGTGGTGAGCAATGGGAGGATTCATCAGAGACATGCAGGAATCATCAGTGAAATAACTTTTTGTAACACAGCTTTCATTCCAGCTAGCTGGCAGCTTCATTATTGCCAGGCCAAGTCTGAATAAAGGATGGAGGAAGCAGAATAAATTAAGCCTGTTGTGTCCCCCCACCTAAGAAAAAAGTGTTGCTCATAAATGCAGCCCCTTTTCTAGAAAGCATCTCAGAGTGTTGATCTGGTATATCAGTTTCATATCGCTTATTTGCGTTCAACCTAAATAAAAGTTAGAAGTTAAAAGATGCTTTCTGAGATTGATTTTTCTGCTAACCTGTGGCTGATAGTCCTTTACTGCTGTAAGTGACTCCTAGGTATGCCTCCTTGCTTTTTTTATGCTGACTTCTTAGAAGCATGTGTTCCCCAGATGTGGAGGTGTTTCACTCGCTAAGGATAATGTATTCCATTGCTTAAAACTTTGCTGTGGAAAAAGAGTCTTTAGCTCAATAGGCTGTCTCCTTCCATGCCAGATGTCTCTCTCAGGCCAGTTTTTTCTTTACTAGAGCAAAAGACGAGCTTATTTGCCATTGATTTACCTTTCTGAAGGTGTTCTGGTGACTTACAAGCAAAGGCATGGTGCTTCCATCCTTTGGGACCAGAGGCTTGAGTCTGGTCCCTCACTCATCTTTAGCAAAGAGCTGGCATGAATTTTTGTGACGTGCCCCAACGTGGAGCGGTCCCGCCATTGCAACTCTGGCTGCTGGAGTATAAAGTTAGTCCAGGAAGACAATACCCTTGCTGCTTAGGACCCAGGGGAAGTGGGGCTTTTTTCTGCCCCTCAGGGCATTGATCGAGTCATTTAAACCAGACAGGTGACAGGAAAGCATTTCCCAGGGTAGAAGTGGAAGAATGGGCTGTGCTGTTTCAGACCCAGGTCAGTCTCTTTTTGACAGTGATAGGTTATAACTTATATATACCAAATAGAAGTTGCCCTGGCACGATAATGATGAAATTTATTGACAATGAGTATTTTTGGTTTTGCACATAAATGCTGCTTTTTAAACATAGTTGATTTTGAGACCGGGATGTATACAAATTAGGCAAAGCTTTCTGTGCCAGCTGGATGAGCAAGAACTGTTTCATACTTTCTATTATTAGACCCCGTTTTCAGTTATTTTTACGTTTTCCTAACTTAAGGTGTTTGCCTCGAATTTTTCTATGCCTTACCTACTTCTGATAAAAACAAGACACAAAAAGTTTGCTGTTTAGTCAGCAATGAAAAATTTTCCCACTGCTCCAATGAGCTCCGTGCCTTCGAGCAAGTTCTTGAAACTGGAGAGGAGCGCCTGCAAGGGAGAATCCCTACACTGATGAGGAAGCGCCTTTTCTTTCCTTGTGCAGCTTGGCCCATGCTGGGTGAAGCTACAGATTTGTGTTTGGCAGATGCTTTTCTGAGCTTCATATCAGTATCCTTTACAGGATATCCTTTGCAGAGGTTGAAGAGCAGGAGGCACCTTGGCACTTCAGGGTGCTGGGAAGATCCCATGCCTGGAATGCAACTTGAGCGGGGAACTGCAGAAAGATACAATCTTGTGGCTAAAGTTGTCAAATACTGACTTGTAGAACTATATTTTATCTCTCTCTCTTCCCTGCACTGCCTGAAGGTTTCAGAGCAAATGACTTAAACCATTTCTCACAGGCCACGTCACTGAATGTACCACGGTTTTTGTTAGTCTAACCTGAAAAAACCCGGTGTCTGATTGGCAAACATACTTATTACTCACAATTTTAATCAATAAGAATTGTACTTTGAATATAGCAAAATGCTACAGATCCTAAATAGTCTGAAAATCAAACTTGGAATGTCTTAAATTAGGCACTTAAAATCAGTGGTCATTTCTGATGATTTTTAATCACTGTGTGCACTGCTTCACTAGGACGCCAGCTTATGTTAAAAAAGTCTTTCACTCCTCTAATGATGTATATTAAAAAAGCGACTAAAAGTGTATTAAGTTATGCAGAGTGCTATAAAAGGTGTGCAGTAACTGCTATCTGAACAAGTATGTAATTCATATTTAAATCCATCTTCCTTAGTTCAGATTAAAAAACTACACTGATGCTAACAAACCTGTTTGGTATTGGTATATTAGTGAAACATCCATGTACATAGAGAGGTTTCCTATGCAATGTGTTTCTCATGTAGCACTTACTTCCTGAAGACATTGAATATGGAACAGTTAACTAAAATGTAAGTAGATACACTTTCACTTAAGAAAATGTGCGCTAATGAACATGTGGTGAATCAATAAGTTGCACAGTGGTGAATCAATACCGTGACCAAGAAAAAATATGTTTTATATAAATAATCACTCAATCAGTTTCCCCTGATAATTAACTGGACTTCTCTTTTTTTTTTATTGGAGAAGAAGAAGAATACGATGAACCTCCACGGTGCAAGGCAGGACAAGATATTGTGCTGCAGTCACCTGTTGACTGGGTGCTTTTGGATGGCCGAGAAAGCTCAGATGACCGTGGAATTGTGCAGTATGAGTGGACGTTGCTGCAAGGTGACTCATCGGTTGAAATGAAGGTACACATGCAGTCTCACACATGGCCAGTCATTCGCAGATTTTCGTGTTCATTATAGCACAGTTTTAAATGTAGAGATAAAAATATTATGTGTATTCAAATGGATATGGTTACCAGGCACCAAAATTAGGACAACCGTACAACTTGAGCATTTATTTCATAGAACCATAGAACAGCTCAGGTTGGAAGGAATCTCAATAGATCATCTGGTCCAACCTTTTGTGGTCAGGGAGCCTAGATGAGATTATCTAGTGCCCTGTTCAGTCACATTTTGAAAACCTCTGGTGATGGGCACTCTACCATGTCCCTGGGGAGGTTGTTCCAGTGATTATTTCTAGTGTTTTATACAGTTCATCTGTATGCAGGATGGCATGAGACAACCAGTAGCAAACAAGTAGATGCTAATACTCTATTGTATTTCAGCTCTGCTTTCTTTTGCCATCGTTTGTGCTCACTGCACTTGTTTTTCGGCTTCTGTGTTCCAGGTTAGAGACACCTCAGTAATTCAGTTACTAAAAATAAGAAGGTATTTTCACCAACAGTCTTCTCTCAATGCTTGTGGAGAAACTGCAAAGAAATACGTGGTGTAGCCCTTATGAGATATCTTGGGATACTATTTTATTACATCCATACAATTCAAATTGCGATATAGCCTCAAGTCATTCAGAACTGGCTGACTGTAGTCACCCTTCCGAAGATGTGGATCTTGCAGCAGAACTTTCAAAAGCATGCAGCACTGGCTTAACTAAGCCAGCTGCAATTTGGTTTCAACTTAAAATTAACCATCAAGAGAGGACTTCTTCATCCTGCCCCTCTTTGTGAATGCTTTAGGAGCAGCAGAAAAGGAAAGGGAAAATGTCTAAAACTCACAGAGTCTACTCACAGTCTGTTCACAACCCACAGCTTTCAAGGTGCACTGGCAACTCCACCTGGAGCGGGAGGGATATGTAAAGGGGAGAGTGTGTGGACCATAGACCTTACTGTTGCTGAGATGCTGACAATGGACAGATGATTCTGTGATGACAGGATCAGCAATGGGAACAGTCCAAAACCAAAGAGGTCATGTGTGCCAGTGCCACCACAAGCTGTACCTTACAGTACAGTTGCTGCTTATGTCTGTTCAGCTCAGTAATATCAAAGATAAAATACCAATATCAGCAAAGTTACTCAAGATGTGTAATGATGGAACAAACCAGTTTCACCTAACACAAAGAGCTAGCTAAATGCATTGAAACCTAAAATTGTCATTCATGGAAAAACCCAACGGAACAATTGGTTACTCCTTAGTCTCCTAGAGGGCAGTGTAGGTAATGTGTAGGTAATTGAAGATCAACATGTCACAGTTAGGAAACATGCTGCTGGATGAACCCTGAGAAGACAGTTGGGTTTCTCTGGTGAATAGTTACTGAAATTTATGCACAAGTAACTTTTAATAAACATACTCATCACAGAAAACACAGCAGAGATATTCAAAAGAGTTAAGCCAGTGCTGCGTGCTTTTGAAAGTTCTACTGCAAGATCCACATCTTTGGAAGGGTGGTACAGTCAGACTTGAGGCTGTACTGCAATTTGAAACTGTCATGTCAAAGACCACTGTGAGTTAGTTTATCTTCATTTATTATTTTATTGGCTTGAAAATTAAAAGGTCAAAAGGCTTTGATAAGGAGTGTGAACAGCGTAATACACAGAAAGACTTGAACGGAGCTTTAAGAATACTTGCTAGATATCATCTGGATAAATGAACATTTTTTTATCAAGAGTCTGACCCTTTGCAGCACTGTTTTCTTTAAATAGCAATTAAATACTCTTTAAATTAATCTGTGATGTAATATCTAGAGTAAGGCAAAAAATGGAAGTTAATTAAAAAAATTAAAATTTATGTTTTTACTTCTACTCAAAGTCACTCCATAAAATAGAAGCAAGTCTTATATCCATTTAAACTTGCAAAATTCAGATTAATCTTGGTGATCTCTTTATATTTGATAACAGAAAACAAATTTGACACATGTTCATGCTTAAATAAATACTTTTCAGTTGTGTTGAAATGGGCAGGGATTTCTCCTACAGATATGTACCCTGATGAATGTCCATGATAATGTAATTTTTAGAGTTGAATTAATAATTGTGATTTTTTTTCATACAATCTTCCGTTGCTGTCTTCAGTGCTTTAGATGCTATCCTGAAGTTACGGGGTTTCATGTCATTTATTCTTAGAAAATGATAAATGAATCTATAGCTACAAGGGAGAATGTGACTGTGTTTAAATAAGATAAAAGGCAGCTGATACATTGCACTTGTGTACCAAAGAATAAATAGAAGGTGGGGGAGGGGGCAGGACTACCGTAATGAAATCTTACCCTATTGTAGAAGGAAGCCAGTGGAAATTTTTTTTTCTATGGTGACTGATTATTGCTTCTTAGATAATTTGCTTCTCAGATTGCTACCCACATGCTGTAGCTGTGCAGCTCCGCGACACTTAGGGGCAATCACGAGTTGTTTTTTTTAAAAATGTTGATCATCTGGACATTTACTGTCTGGTTTGAGCCACAGAGGTCGCCAGGAGGAGTGGCGGCATATTCAGAAGTCTCTGGCTCTGCACTGAGAAGAGAGTTGAACTCCACGGCTCATGAGTTTTAAATATGGTATTTGTTCTCCCAGCAGTCATAGTGAACAGCAGCAGGTGTTTTTTAGAGCATATTTATTTCTGTAATACACTAAAGAATAAAATTCTAAGGGGTCATGTACTTCATCAGGAGGTAATCAACAGCATGATCAGATAACTAAGTGCATTTATGTAAGTAGAAAAGGAAAGAAATTTCAGCTAGGAAATTCACTTACCAGAAGAGAAAAATGCGTTTATCAATACATATATTGTATTAATACATAATACTAATACTGCTATAAAACTACATCTGGCTATCACCATATTTATCAAAAATTCCAGTTCTCTTTTAGGTATGAAAAACAACTTTAAATAAGCGAACCAAAGATCTTTTTGTAATTTTTGTTTTAATATTGAAGATAATGACAGAGGATTTTAATGTACCTTTCAATTACTTATAAAAATAGCCCTGTGTGCTTCATTTGTAAAAATGCACTACATGTCCAATAAACCTGCAGCGCTTTTTTGTAGTTACTGAAGTGTATGTTACTGAGTTCTCAGGCTGCTGGAGTTATTTGTGACTGGTAATTGTCACAAGGTTAAAAAAAGTTTAACATTTACAAGTATCACACTCATTTTATACAAACTAACTTCTAAATGACTATTGTACTAGTAACGCCAGCTTGGTACCTGTTTTAAATTATCATAAAATAAGTTATTTTATTAACTTCTTAATGATGTAATCCACTTTAAGTTGTTTCTGTATTTTTATCCCATGACATTCTGAAACCTAATGTTTAGGTCACTCACTATAGATGAACTTATTGCTGGTTCAGAGCAAGGCATGGAAATTCAATGTGGGGCATGGAAAACTTCAGTCCAGCAATTTGTATAAGTTGTAAGTGACTACGTCAAACCATACTGGACAAAGGTGGGCAACCTTATCAATAAAGCAATGCTATCAGTCACCTTATCACAAATCAATATATAGCAAAAGGAACTTCTGTGGATACATGTATATTGTCTACAGACTAACTCAGTAGAGAACAAAATACTCTAATATTTTACCACCTACCCTCTAAAATTACATTTCTAATTACTGAAAAATTGAGTTAAATGTATGTTTCCATTTATTCCTCAGTGCTAAGATCCATAGCTCCAGGTAACTGAGTGTACCATGAAAAACAGTACATAAATGGTAAGTGTGTTTGTTTTTACAAATGGATGCAAAAAAAAGATCAAAACATTACATGTTGATGGTACACATGCTTGAGTGGACCGGCTAGACTTAAGAGAAGTATTTAATCTGCGTGAAAAGCATTGTACAGAAATGAGCTCCCTATTCCTAGAAGTTTATGGACAGATCCTTTATACCAATGTTTTTTTCTCTGTGTTTCTTTAATCAGGTACCACAGCCAGGAACACTGAAACTCTCTCACATCCAGGAAGGCGGGTATATTTTCCAGCTAACTGTGACAGACACTGCAGGTCAGCGGAGCTCTGACAATGTCTCTGTGACCGTTCTGCCCATGGTTCATTCTGCAGTAGGTGAGAAAATGACTGAGCCGTTGCCTGTGTGACACCCAAGGTGTGGTATTCAGAGCAAGGGTCTTGATGGAGACGGAAATCTTACTCTCCATTTCTAGTGTTTTATTTGCATTTATTTATTAATGCCCTTATTCATTACATAATGACATCTCTTGCAGTTTTGAATTGCTGTTTCAAAATGAGGAAGCAAGCAAGCGTCACTTGTTTGTTACAGCAATAATAGTTTCAAGCATTCAGAGGTTCATCCTTACATTGCTAATAAGCGTGCGGGCTTGGAAAAATTAAATACTGCCATATGTATCAGGCACATCCTAACAGTTCATTGTATAGTCAGATGGCGTATGGAATGTGACAAGGCTCATGCTATAGGGAAGAACCAGTTAAAAGCAGTTAATAGTAGGTGTGATGCACAGTCTAATAATAATATTGTCCTGCATCTGTAGTCTAAAAGATGGGATGGTTTCTTGTTTTCATGCATTTAAATTTTTCTGTGTAATGGTTGTTATTGAAGCATTATGTTACTGTGGAAACTGAAACTGGAATTGACCCATCATCATTTTAAAACTCTGACCTCGAGAAACATGTAAAAAGCATAAAAGGTAGAAAGTAAGTTAGATTTCAGTGGCTGTCAGTTCTGCGCTTTCTAATGTAGTAACTTCTAATTACATTGTAATTAGCAAACTGCTAGTATAGATCTGCTGCTCTGGCACAAAGTAAAGGTTAAATAGCATTGTCACTATATTTACCTGAATCAGTGAAAACTTTATGCCAGTGCAGTATCTCTACATGAGAGGATAGTCCCAGTGGCAATAAATTGGTATTACAAAAAAACAGTTGTGTATCTGTTTAGTGACACCTGTATTCCAGTAATGGATAATGGAGTTGTATTCCTAAATGTTTAATTGAGCTAAAGCAGCCAGAGAGGTTTGCTGATTTATTTATTTGCTGCCATCTTATACCAAGATACTGTGGTATCTTTCGGGTGAAGCACACAGGGGATTTGCTGCCTTTTTTCTTTTTCTGATTCCCCAAGTCCGTTTGCAATTCAAGTGCTACTGCTACAATTAAACCAGTCTGCGATGCCTTAATGCACGCAAGACTGGTGCTATTATTAGTACTGAAATTTAGGAGATGCATGTTCGAAGTATGATTTTAGGGGTTTTAAACGGGTGCCTGTGTTCCTGCCATACTTTCCTTAGCGTTGCTCAGCCTTTTGGTACATAGCAGGGTAACAATCAAAGGCTGTGGCTTGCTTATGCAAATCAATTTGCTGTCACAGCATTAACCAGACACTGAATTTGATAATGCTTTACAAAGCAATGAATTACACCACTGTTGGAAAGACAAAAGCATGTATATAAACACTTGATAATTACAACATCAGAATGGATTTCAGGAAAATTTTGAGTATGCAAAATGAAACGTCCAGGAACACTCTCCATTTCCAGAGCAATCTAAATATTAAAGCAGGCAGCAATCAGTTCTTCCAGGTGAAGGTCACTTGTAAGACTTTGTACTAACTCATATTCTGGCATGTGCTGTATTGGAGTCAATGGATTGCTCGTGGGAACAAATTACTTCAGCATTCTGAAGTAATAAATAAATAAATAAAAGATTCCGTATAGTCCGTATGTGTGCATGTAAAATCACGTATTGTCAGAAATACAGAATGTGTATGTAGTAGGAATTATATGTTGGAGAAATGCAGTTACAACCATAGAGATGTCATTTATTTATTTTCAGGACCCTTTTGGGTCTTGTAAGCCTGGGAAGATCTCCTTTCAGCTTAGGCGAGCAGAATTTAAAGTGCTGTAGAGGTGCTGCAAAAGGTGTAAGGTGCTACAGCCTCCAGGTTAAGTATTCCTGTAGTAAAGAGATTGCCAGAGTACTGATGAGGCTGCAAGGAATGGTTATGAGCTATATTAGGTTCTGTGTCAATATAGCATCATATAGCTGAGCCTGGCCTTTCTTCAACTTTCTGCCTTGTTCGTGGTTCCTCTTGACATAGTGTGGTTTTGCTTTTTCCTTGCTACTGCAGATTTTAGTCATTTACTGCTCGGATTTTGGTAATTTGAGATTTTTTTCTCAACAGCCTGTGCCGGGGTTTGCTCTCGCTACCAGTTTATCTGTGATGACGGCTGCTGCATTGACATCACATTTGCTTGCGATGGCGTGAGACAGTGCCCTGATGGATCAGATGAAACTTTCTGCCAAAACTGTAAGTGTGCCAGGCCTCAGTGTAGATTGTGAAAGTAACCGCAGCCTGAAGGACCAAGGGGAATGTGGCCTCTCTTCCCGTGAGCAAGCAGCTTGCGCCCACCATAGGGGCTTTCACTGGAAAAAGTACTTGGGAAGGTTTCATGTCTGCATACAGCAGAATTAACTCCCTTTTCTTTCAAAGAAAATTAAGAAAGAGAACTTAAGAAATTAACTCCCTTTTCTTTCAAAGCATGTCAAAACTGTCCAAGGTCCCCAAATGACAGATTTTCTGTTCTCAACATTTAAACATCAGTTCTTTACTTGCATGATGATTCTGGAAACAAGGACCTTGGTCTTGATCTGAAAGGGTGTCTCAGAGATATGCTTCTAAGTGCAGTTACACACCTTGCAAGAATCTGAAACTGGAAATGTGAGCACATAGGGGAAGCAGTTGATTCACCATCGCCTTGTTCACTATTAGTCATCCTCAATATGTGCCCACACTCACCCAAGTGAACAAAAATGATCAGTGGGAGAACCAGGCTTTCACTGATATTTCAGTTGCTGGATTGCACTTTAGGGTTCATGTGTATACTCTTGCTTAAGAATTGACAGCAGACAATTGTTAACTTGCTGTGTATCTGGAACTCACATTTCATCACGTGTCTGAACCTGATGAACTTGTTTAGCCTGCCTCAAGGCCCATATCGCAGGGTCTTCCATCAGAACACTCCCATTCCCTTCAATTCTATATAAAAATAATGATTTTTTTTTTGCTGTTAACATAGTCAGCCCAGGCCGGAAGACGGTGACTCATGCGGCTCTTGGCACTACCCAGCAAAGGACTCCAGGTCTGACAGAAAACACAGATGAAAACTTCTCTGCAGAAAACACCCTGAAAGCCACTGCCAGAAATCAACCGCTTCTTTCAGTGGATGCAGACATGTCTAACCAATCGCTTTCTCAGGGACCAAAGAAAAAAATCGGTGAATTTGTGCCAGGTAAGAATTAAAATGAACCAGCTTCAATAAAACTTTCTCTCTCAATGTCTTGCACCTGAAATTAATGAAGTTGTCCTTTGGTGCCTGGCTAAGAGTAAAAATTTGCAAATGTACAGAGTGCAAAAGAAGCTTGTAATAATTAAGTTACAACTAGGTATTGCTTTATAAAGTCAAGTCTGGGTGCAAAAAAAAGTTAAAATGTAGAAATGCTAGGGAAAAGTCTTAAGGAACAAAACATGCAGTGAGCTAACTATAAATTCTGCCACAGGTTCAGCTGTGTAAGCTGATGTATAAGGCTCTTTAAATCTGTAGAGCGGTACCTTTGGTAGAACATAAAGTATGGTTCAACGTGGGTGAGGATAATTGCATCTCTCCTAGTGCTAATCGATGACTTTTTCTTCCCCGCCCCCAAGTAGTATCTTGATTATTATGGCCACTTTTTTTCTGAAGTATGTCTCCAGGGCAGGAGATATCCTTTATCACTGTAGAGAAGGCTCAGTCTTTGGTAACAAACAACCCCTGGTCCCCAGTAGTATTCTCCGTAGTGGCTGCAAGCCTGTTGTGAGTCAGTGTGTAGTCATGTTGTTGTCCCAACAGTGGGATCGTATACCTGGTGTGCAACACGCCAATATACGCACGGAGTAGAGGTATTTTATTTATAGCATATTTGCACAGATATGGGTACAAGGGGGTATTCCACAAAACTAGCACACCACACAGAGGAATTACTACATATTTACCCTGTTACATGTTTAGCGAAAACAACAGTGAACAATTTTTGATTCTGTTAACTCCTACCGACCTGCACACTAGAATCTTCCATTTGCCTGAGATATCAATGTTACAGGCAGAGTCACCAACCCTTGCCTTGGTGGAAATCCAGAAGCTGCAAAAAAAGTGTGTCTTTTATGGTTCTTGATGGTGAATTAACATAATCTGAAATGGCAATTGAATGAAAGCAAAACTGCGTGCACAGAGCCTAAAATGAGTGTGAGACCTCCCACTTTTATTTCTTCAGAGTTCAGAATGATTCTTGCTGCCCAAGGTGCAGCTAATTATAAACAGCTTTATTTTCTTGTTACAACAGAGCAGTGCTCAATGCCCTCTGCTGCTGACTCTAGTAAAGGGCACTTCCCTGTCTGGCACTTTCATGTTTCTTCAGATGCTTGTACTTCATCTGCGGAGACCACAAAGGGAGTGAAAACAATGTTCTTTGAGAATTTGACTGCCTCGGTGAATGTGTAGGAGCTGATAGCAAAATCCCCTCTCAAATGTTTCCCCCTTTTCTGGCAATGTAGGTGACCTTGGTGCTCCTTATTGGAATATCTTAAAATTACAAAGTCTGCCCCAAACCCTTCTCGCTCGAATAGTCCTGAGTAACACCTGATACAGGGCCACCCAAACTAAACGTCAAATTGCCAAAGGGCATTGCAGGCTCCAATGGAAAGTCAGCTGCTATGTAGGTCTCAAAAACCATTTGGCTTGTGAATCCAGAAGTAAAACCAGAATTGAGGTCACCAACTTTGGCAACCTATAATCGGAGGTTATAATTGGAAGTGCATTTAAAAGCGTGGCACTTTTTCATAGTCATTTTCTGTGTTTACTCGTTGCACAGTGACTTACTTGCACTGGTTTTGCTCTCAGGTAGCCTTTTGCACAGCAGTAGACAATAAAAAGAAATTATTGTAAAACTAAAAAAATGTGATGGGGCTTCAGTGATTAGTGTACTACCAGAAGCTGTTGTAATCTTTTTAATTTTAAACAGGCAAGATTTCCAGCTGAGTATGTCTGGTTTTAATTCTTGTGGTTTTAATATTGCTCTTTTAACAAGGCTCAGTCAGAATTTAATTTATTTCAGTTAAATGATCCTTAAGGATTCCCTTGTAGAATAGGACGACCGAGTCCTTACTGACCCAGGAGCCCAATACTTTTAACCAAAAAAGCAGCAAACAGCTCAGCGAGTTTTTAAATCACCTACGGATTGGTTCCAAAGAGGATGCATGTGGTGGGACATGAAGAGGTGCTAACTACCTGTGTCCAAAGGGCAACTGCCAAAATCTGCTCTGAGTTGCTGTCTTCTCATACAAACACTTAAACTCCGTAGGAGTCACGTGCTGTATATTAATGATTCCCGGAGGTCCTGAGAGATTCAAGTTCTGCCCCACTGGCAAGCAACCACAGTCTCTATGGGGTTGAGGAGACAGGCAGCTAACCTATTCCTAAGAATCCACCCAGATCCATTAATTAGATTTCACTCCATCACTGCCATCTCAAGGAGGTTACAGACCAAATCTGATAATTAGGTGCTACACAAATGAGAGACACAGAAACACTGGAGCAGCTCCATGAAGCCTGTCTGGAAAACTGTTCAGGAGGGCAATAATTGCTAGATGCCTTGGAAGTTCAGCAATTCCACTGGCAGAAATCCTGTTCTGCGACGGACTGTCTCCTGAGACAGTGCCGAACCTGCTGCTGGTGCCAAGGTAGAACCTGTGCCTCCAAGTCACACTGTAAAGGTCTTTGTTGGATCAAGACAGTAATGTTGCTTGTTGGCCTAGAGTTGACTTTGTAAGCATCCAGGCTCCTGATATACTATTATAAATTCAAAAATAAGTTGTAATGGCTTTAATGTCAACATGGTGAAAAGCTGTCTATTTAAGGTATTTATTAAGGGATATGGCTTTACAGAGGCAGCACAGGTTCCAGCTTTTCACTTGAGAGCACTCCATTCAGGGCTACATTTGTCTTATTTCTTAGTTGTCATTTGCAGATTGTCATGGAAATACAAGCCAGGAAGGAAAGTGTGATGCTCTTAGATCCAGTGACTGCAAGGCAGAGGAGGAGAAGGTGTTAATATAAAGGGTAATTTACATACCGGAGGCAGTATATGGCACATTCTAGGTGGCTGCTAGACGTGATGCTCGATACAGGAGTTTTCAGCTGACTTTTAAAGAACAGAAGTTTTTCCCAAGAAGTTGCAGGACTGGGGAGTTGCTTTGTTTTCTTTTTTACATTTGTTTTTATTACAGTGGTGGTTACAGTACCAATAAAGACAGGTTCCTTCTGCTACTCACCTCTCCATAAGCAGCTTTCATCTTTGAGACTCCAATAAAGATTATCCAATAATGGGACCTCCTCATCAAGGACCACCATAATTATCTCTTCTCCATTTTAAAGGCAGTTGGGCTAAGCTGTAATGTTAGTTAGGCTGTGGGATAGTTCCTCACAGCAGGAATATGAGCTTTAGGCCTGTAAGGGTAATACAAGGGGAAAATTGTCCCAGAATCTATTTTCTCCTAATAGTTTCTCTGTTCCAAATTTCCCTTAACTTACTTTCTGTACTCCAGCAGCCCTGCCATGTTTGGCTCTGACTTGATACAAGCTTTTTACGGATTTATACTTAAGTATGAAAATGTGAAAATATGCAAGTCCAAGGTAAGGACTGCTTAAAATTTCTACCTGACCTAGCAGGGGATCTATTCACAGTAAAGAGGGAAAAACAAACCAACCCAGAAGTCATTCACTGTTGGCAATGGGTGAATCTTGTTCTGCTCTCCTGCCTTTCCAGTGGGATTCTTCTACAGCAGGGTGACTCCAGGGGAACACCAAGTCCAGCTGAGAGAACCTCCTCAGGCACTCAGGGCATGGAGTCTTTTGCCACAGACTCATGGTTTACTTTTGCCCAAGCTGGAAGGCCAGACATTTTCTTCCATAGTTGGAAGCAGATGCAGGAAGAGGCTTTTGATGTCAATAAAGGAGTCCTTTCCCTTTGCAGACATATGTCCATAGTAACGCAAATTGCATCTTCTCCAAAGGTCAGCGCAGCATTTCTGCATGGTTGCCACCAAAGTGCCCTGGCATCCTTTTCCAGGGAAGCTTTCAAGCCCAGCTGCATATTCTGGCACTGCTGCACTTGTAAATGAATATAGCAAACATACAGTAGCAGCAAAGCACGCTGGAGTGAGCAATGGTCTGGTTTCTAAGCAGCAATAGCCAGTCTAGCAAACACAGTCATGCAGAGGGATTGAATTCACAAGCAGCCTTAAGATTTGCATTCCCCAGCATAGCCAACTCAAGTGTATAAACCACCATAACAGCTTTGCATTCCCCTGGCACGGGGTCTCTGCCTTTCCCCAGGCTGCCTGCGCCAGCTGTTGTGCAGTACTCGTCAGGGCTGGGATTACAACGTTTGACTGAGTGCCCAAGCCTTAGTCATGTTTTTCCTGCGGAGGCAGCACCAGCAGTAGCCGTAACCTAGATAGGGTAACTGGAAGTGGCTATAAATTGCAATTTCCTAGCCATGGGCTAGAAAATAAAGAGAAAGTGAACACAAAATGAAACCCACATAACATGCTTTACGTCAGGCTCCTAAACCTGTTTGGGGAAATCTCTTTCTTTTCTAGTTGATAACAGATTAAGATGTTGAGTAGTAATGACTCTGACAGCCTCTCCAGTCCTATAAGAACAGCCACAAGTCTTAACCCTACAAGCTTTATTGAAAGGATTTTGTTATTCTTCTACCCTTCCAAAATTTTCCCACTAAACTTCTCTCCAGATATATTTGCCAAATGTCTTTACAAGTGGTTGACTTAAATATTCCCTTTACTCAAATGACAGGGAAACAAATTTATAAAACAGGCATTCAGATCTAGCCTTGTGGCTAGCAGCTCTAAGAAGGGCGTATGTTGTCTGGGTATTTCCAAAATAAAGACAAATATTAATTTAATTTCACTTAGGGAAGACAGAAGCAGGAAACAGCTGCTGGTTTTGGTCTCAATTACATTCAGCTTATTTTGCACAGCTCTGCTACCATACAACTTCCTTAAAGCCAGTGCAGTTTACACTTAGGACTTCCTTAAGTTCCCTTTACATGCCAGAACAACTTAAAAAGCCCGAATGAGAAGGAGGGCTGTGGCTTGTTTCTAAGGCATTTCCTAGCAGGTGATGTTAGTGTTTCTGCACCCCTAGCTGTAACGGGTGCAGGACAAGAAAGCCAGAGCTTGGAAGGCTGTGTTGTGCCTTAGAGTGGAGACATTAGCACTAACCTCATGCTAGTATCAGTGAAACAATTTAAGCTTTAATTAATGGTCGTGTGTATTTGCTGCTGCCACTGACAGGGATGCATTCTGCAGTGTTTCAGAGCTGGTGGTGGTGGGTAGGAGTTACGCATGGTGTGTGTTCCAAGCTAATTGACTTAAACACTTCCTTAACGCCCACCACTGTATGTAATTCCAATTACAACGTTTCACATTCATATTTTACAGATCTTGTAGCATAGTATGTTTCCACTGGCATTGTCACACTTCCGAAGGCTGCCAGCAAATACAGCACAGCACAGTCAAAGTGCCCTTCAATATTTATCAGTAAAAAAGAAATACAGTCATTACATTTAAAAACATTGGCGTATTTCTGATTTTTGCGAGGGTGTGTTGGTGGATTAAGCTGTCACTCTTGCACGAAGCATCCCCATAGCTATTTGTGTAGGACTTCAGTGGGAGGGCAGGAGGAGGGAATCCCAGCTGAGTTACTCCCTGCTCCTGTGAAGCAAAACTGCAGCCGCCTGCACTCCCAAGATGAACACTTCTTGGCAGCAAACTATGCGTTATCTCTTCTTGTGTAGTTACAGTGCTCTGCTGTATCTTTGGTCGATACCCCATTATGCAAGTTTGTAAAAGAATTTATATCTGTCTTTTTTTCAGTGGAAAATGACCCACATGTGTTTGTTTGAGATGCATTGTGGTTCACAATGCAAAATTGAATTTATATTTTAGCTTTAGTTTTCACACTATTCCAAAAATTGTACAATAGGAGTCAGAAGTTCTTAAACTGCTTCCCCCCCCCCCCTAAATTTAATTCCTGTCACATTATTTAATTCTAGCGTTCTGTGGATAAGACTTCCTGAGTCACTGAACAGCAATATTTATTTATCTTGCTTGACTTTGTGCAGATAACAGTTCCTCAGGGAAAAAAGCAGATGATAAAAATGGGAATGGCATAATTGTGCCAAAGAGGGATCAGCTTGGAGGTGGTCGTCCAGTCCCAGAAACAGGTAAGACTGACCATGTGAATTCATTTTGAATTATGTTAGTTTTTCAGTCAGGTACTATAGATCCAGATACTATAGTAATGAATTGAGTAATATACTTCCATATTCTGAACTGTCCCTAACTTGTATGATCATACAATTTAGTTTCTCGGCATGAGTTGCTCCAAATATTAGCACTTAAGTGATACACTAGCTGTATTTTTAAAGAAAAAAAATCAGGTTTTCTCTACTGATTTCTCACTGTATTAAATAAAGTGTAATTTCTCTTAACCTCATTGTAGGTGCTGTGTTACCCTTAGCCTTAGGCTTGGCCATCACTGCTTTACTGCTGCTTATGGTTGCTTGCAGACTGCGTTTAGTGAGACAAAAGCTTAAAAAAGCTCGACCTATTACATCCGAAGAGTCCGATTACCTCATCAATGGGATGTATCTCTAAAAATTGGATTTAGGTCAGTTGTTTTCTCCCCTTTCTCCTGTGTCCATGAACCTCTGCCTCTATAAAGGGACCAAAACCTTTAGTTTCAAGTGTAGAAGCCGCCGACGAGATGAGGAACATGTTCTTTCCCTTCGGTGATAAAATAAAGAAGTGGGTAGATGCCCATGCTCAGAAAATAAGAAGCATTCAGGCTCCAAAGAGTAGCTCCAGCTGGCTCTTGTGCAGAAGACATTGCAAGGTGGGGACACTCCAAACTGAATGCAGGGTGCCCTTACCCTCCCTGCAGCAGTCGGGGTCCTGGTCGCGGCAGAGCTTGCCCCAGGGCCAGGGCACCAGAGCAGCCAAAGCCCAGCAGCTCTGGCCGCGCTGGTGGAAACGTAGAGGGAAGCCTGTGCCACCCTGCTCTTCTGCGCGCTGCCACCACTGTGCTCCGCTCTGGGGACCGAGATGCTCCAGACCAATGGGTTACTTCACTGTCCAGCAGAGACTGATTTGTGTCCTTTCCACCTGATGCACTGGGAGTATTTTCATTAAAGAATTTGTCTTGCTTTGTTAATTAAAAGCAATTGCTATCTAAGCACCAGCTTTTGTAACAAAATTTGGGATTTAAGGAACAAATCCTCTTTTCTTTATTTGTAGTTTAAACCTCTGTGCAGCTAACAGAGAGTCACGCTTAGTAAATGCTAAAATGAAAAAATACAAGCCATCAGTGGATGAGGTTGGACTTACCAGTGCTCGACAGCAGTCACGTGCAGTCCCAGAGCTATGTCTGTCCCCGGAGCTCAGGGCCTGTTCAGCCTTTTCCACCTCTAGCTCAACACCCTCCATGGCATGAGAGCAGCACACAGTGGCTCTGACCTGAGACGCCGCAGTGTAGGATTCCTGGTGGTTATCCCATAGCTCCCTGCAAAGCTTGAAAGCTTCAGCGACCTGCCCTCACCCCAGCAAAATTCTCATAGAATTAGAGCAAGTAATTGGTATGTGTGAGTGAACTTCAGATGTGTTAACAGTAAAATGTGTACAGTACATGTTATATATACACATATATATACACACACCATGCTGTCCATCTTGTTTGACTGCCCAAGGATGTCAGATTCATCACGGGTCCCAGTAAAAACAGAGGCAAATGAGGCATGCATCTTTTTGTATGTCGTCTTTTGTACTTCAGTAACTTCGAGTCAGCAAGAATATTGCCATGGTATACAAATAGTTCCTCAAGTTGCTCGGTCTTGATTACTTTATGTAAAATAGCTCCAATAAACCTATTTTATTCTTAGATTTCTTGCATTGCCTTTATTTTCAGCTAAACTTTGTGCTATGAGACCATAGCACGAAAGCAGACAGAAGTACATTTCTCCTCTCTGTGAAATAGCCTTAAAAGAAGGTGGAAACGTGTATGGTGGGAGAGTTGTTGAGGTATTTTGTTGTAGGAAGACTGAGAAGAACAGAGCATCTACCTCCCTGACCCATCTCTCCAGCAGTACTTCAGCGGAGCAGGACAGCAGTCGCAGAGCTGGCCGTGCCAACCACTCAGGGAATCGGGTTGCCAGTGCTCCTTGCTCAGAGCCCTCCTACCACGTCAGGCAAAGTCTGGTGGTATGTACTTCAGCCTTACACTGGGTCCAGGAGACTGTCTGCTGGCGCTGCCCATTTCTGACTTGGGAGCATGGCCTCTCTTCCATCCCAGCCTACAGCAGGCATGGCAAATAGCACAAGACCCCAGAGACCGCATTTTATATACAGCCTTCTAGGAAAGGCACACTGCCCATCTGGTTGGGGTATTATTTCCCACCATGGAAATTTGTTTGGGGTTTTAATGAAATCTCTAATTCTCCTTCACTATCTTACCATAGCAGCAAGAAAAGTAGTCTTTTTCTCACTGTGCCCATAGTGCTTCTATTACCAAAACCCGTTACTCCGGCACGCAGCCAGCAGGAGAATGAAAGGTTTGTTTTTGTTCTTCCGGGCAGGACAACAGCAAGATCCTGCATGGAGCACAAGCCAGCCAGCACAGCCGTGGTGCGAGATGCTGCTCAGCTTTCCAGCCACCTTAGCCAAGAGCAGGCTTTGCTGCTGTGCTGCTGCGAGTGGCGTCAGCCTTCATGGATTTCGCATATGACAGCCAAGAATAAACACCTCCAAGCAGAGCTGGAGCGAGAGCAGCAGACAGCGAGCGCAGCGCAGGAGCCTAGCTATCACTACGTTATAGTTGCCACAGTCTTCCCAGAGACTCTTCTTTCTAGGAGGCGGAGGTGGTGACAGTTGCCACTGTGCAGACCACCAGCCGGAGGCCTCTTACTTCTTGAGTAATTGCAAACTCCACAGCTGGACTGAAATAACCACAGCTGGACTGAAATAAAAAAAGTTTGCTCCTTACCAGAAAGCCTGGGCATTGTCAGCTAGATGAAGAGCAAGACAAAAGTTAGAAAAATGACCGATTGGCTTGGCAGCTCCTGCAATACACACTGGTCTCAATAACATGCGTTTTCATTTAATAGCTTTCATGCTATTCGACTTTAAATAAGCGATACTGAACTGCAGAGCCAGAGCATATCTGAGCACTAGCAGAAAAAGCTGTGGCACGACACCCTTATTGACACGCTGGGGGTGCTGCGCCCTTCTACCCAGGCTGCTCCCAGCCCTTGCCTCCTGCTGACGCCACTTCTGTAGCCCCTTCCCAGCCGCTCCCAAGGTTGGGGCTGGCTCTCCGATCACAAAGGAGCGCTCAGAGCAGGCACTGCTTCTACCCCATCTTCATGGTTGCATTGCTAACTGCTCCTCATGCAAACTTCAGGGGGTTTTACACAGTGTTTTACTGCAGCACAAATCAGATATTCTGTGTGAAAATCGTTACAAGGTCGGTCAGATCTGTTTTTCCTGTCCCAAACACTGGCATGTGTCTATCCACACGTTTGGGACTATGTTCAGTCCACCTATTTTTAATACCAGCATGGTTTAAACAGATAAGCAGAGAATACCGATTGCTCTGATAGCGTATACCTGTGGATATTAGTCCTCTGCGTATTAGGAGAGGTCATTGAAATTTCTTCTGTCGGTGTATGTTAATGTTGACCAAGATAACGTCTTTCTGTTAGATCGCTTTTTCTATTTTCAACTGTTTTGCCCTTCAGACCAACTTACATACACTTAAGGGTACAAATTTCAAAGTAATACTTACCTGAGTTTTAGCCACAATTAGAAGTCGTTTTTTTCTGTAACATGGGTTGCCTGCTGCCCACTTTTGCGGGGGATCCTAGCCTGAACATCCCCGCTGTAGTCTTCCTATAGCACTGCAGGATTACAGCAGGGGCAGTTCCACAAGCACATTTGCAGAACAAAAAGGCTGAAATAGGTCACTGTGATGCTCCATTTGCTTTTTAAATCCCAGATAAAGCATATGAGTTTCAATCCCAAACTCCACAGAGCGAGTCAGAGGCACGAACCAACAGCAACACAAACACGCCACCCCAAAACAAAAGGGAGCCTTTCTAGTAAGCCCCAACAGAATTCACAGTCATGCGTCACCAAGGCCTACGCTTGCTGCTTGCATGAGCGTCAGGAATGGGGATTTTTTTAGCTTTTGCCATTAGAAACCGAAGAGTAAAAGCGAAGAGAAAAACTAGAGAAGATTCAGAGCTGCTGGATGTAAACAGCAGACAGAGGCAATAAATACATAGGAAGAAAAGAGCCCATGAAACAATCGGCTTCACCTGAGTAAGAAAAGGGCAACATGCTGTAAACAGGGAACATTTAGAGGAAAAAAAAAATGTGTAGAAGTAACTTTGTTATATATTTTTCAACTAATAGTTACTTAAAACAAGCCAGGAAGTGAGGATGTAAGGCTACAAATGCAGTCGTACTACAACAGAAACACTTGCTGAAGCCTGCACTCTGCACTGGAGCTCCGAAACACAGAGAGAAGTCTAGACAGACTGAATCAGCGCAAGAAGCCAGTTCAGAAACAAGTTTTTAAAGATACCTGCTAGAATTTTAATTTTTGCACTTGTAAGGCTTCTGGCTGGCAGTTACAAACCCCTCACAAATCCATGAAATGTGTATTTTGAGCAGACAAGGCAGAAAGGTTCAGTGCTGTGAAGGACAGAGTCACAGCTTGCAAGGATGTCATCAGCTGCTCGGCCAACAGAAATGTTTAATCCTGTTTTAAAGAGGGCAGAGCAAGACATTTTAACATAGTTCTTCAACTACCAGATCCTAGTGCACAAAAGAGATGCATTTAAGACAGCAACATTCAAAACAAACAACTGAACAGCACAGACATAGAAGGAGCAGGAAACTTGAGTGGGTGCAGGACTGGAAGGGACTTGAAAGCAGGCAGCGCAATGGAAACTTGGGACTGTGGGGAAAGCATCCCCAAAGACTCATTCCATACACAAGAGAAGACTTTCCTGAGGCTGCCTCTATAGGCAGAGACGACGAGCTTCTTCAGCGCTCTGATCAGAGCATTAGTCTAAGCAGATGCTCTGAATCACCCATTTCCCTAACCAGGGGCCTTTGAGAATGTCCTCCTAGTCCATAAGGCACCTGGAACAAAAGTTACTTGATTAACCTCTGGTGCCCTTTCTCCATTATAGCAAGGAAAGGATTTGGCAGAACACAGTAAACAAGACACTTAATCTGTTCACAATAAATACACCTAAGATGCAAACATATGCCTAAACATGACTGAAAATAGGACTTCAGCTTCTCAGTAGCTTCGGGGAATGTTTTCGAGAATGTGTAGCAGGTCAGTTCCTCAGAAGCGTATGATGAAAATGGCTGGACTACAAAGAAACACGAAAAGATCCAAGTGGGATCTCGGAGAAAGTCTGTGAACAATCTTTATGAAAACAATCTGTTGTTGCTAAAACAGAGTTTTGTTAAAAAGGCACAGGATTAAGTCTTTCCAGTTTTCAAGTCTGGTGTGATGAGACACAAAGTGAGTTCTTTCCATTTCTGCTTCCTGAAGCTTTCAGACAATTTTCAGGGGCAGCTGGAAC